ATGATTGAACCCAAATTACAAGAAAAAAAACTAGTCTGTAAGACCAACTTAACTAATTCTTATGAAAGTTGACGCAGTTAATGTAATACCTATAAATAGATTTGACGATTTATGTATTCTTGTCGTGTAAAATATTTAAATCTGTGTATTCATATTGTATTTTAAAGAAAATTATTTATCACAATTTGTGTTGACACGAAAATATGAAATATAAATTTTTTGTTAACTTATTTATAGTTATTGCTAAAATTTTAAATCATATTATTTTTTATATATTTTTATATTATGTTCGAGTTGTATTATTATGTCATATTTTAAATTATCAAATCTATTTATAAACTGATGGTATGTTCTAATTTGCAGATGTAAACAGTAAACATCGGACATGAAATAGAAGCTAAACAAGCTAATCCTAAAGTCTGATACTTGTGATCCTTGTCTTGAACCATTTATTATTTAATTCTTACTTCTAATAGAGAGTTCAGCTACAATGATAGAAACTCATTGTAAATTGGAAAAAGCCGTTTAATAAAAATGGAACACAGAAATTTATCTACCATTTTCTTGTTCTTCTCTCAAAGGATCATCATGGGTGGATCCATGTGTATTTGTGTAGGGTGTTTTTATGTACATCTTTTAAAGATTAAAATATAAAATTTTGAAAAAAAAAAATTTCTCAGACCCTTCCCAAAATTTTTTCTTTAAACATCTTTTTCGTTGATAGAATTAGTAAATTCATCGGTAATTATATATATATATATATATATATTATAAGTGGACATCCTCGAAAAAAAAATTAAAGATCCGTCATTAAATATCATTGTCTATTAGAGTATATGAATATCTAATATGATAATCCTTATGCTATGTTTGGTGTATAGGATCATGAATAGGATATGATGATAATTATTTTATATTATATTTTTTGTTTGTATGTGAAAAAAAAAAATAAGAATAAGATTACAAGGAGAGAATTATTTTTAATTTGTAGGAATCAAATTTATATGTTCTATTATATTTTTAAAAATTATATCAATAATTAAATTGTAAAATTTTAAGAAATGATAATTTGATCAATAATAAAATTATTCAATTATAATCTTTGCACACATTAAATATTGATATTATTTAATCTAATTCATTTCATATCATCTTATCTTATTTTATCATAATTTTTACACCTATAATTAAAGGTATAGGATCAAGTTAAGTCTAGAAAGATACAAGGGAGAGTTAGTCTAGGCAATTTCAAAAATACAATGTATACGTCGTACCAATAAAAAATTAGTATAAGTTGTTAAGGTTTAAAATCTGAATATAAAATATTTAAGATGACTTGCCTTTCTCTACTCCTAAATATTTTATTTACTAAAAAAAAAAAAACTTGTACGTCATTTGTACTTCTAAAAATGTCACATGGACATCATTTATCCAGATTAAATACCCACTTGTCCTAACTACGCTTAGGTGCATTACACTTTGCATGAGCCATGAAGTAACGTATAAGGTTGGAAGGTATATTCCAAGCATTCTACTCTAATTTCAAGTTTAACTAATTACACTAATTTTTTATTTTTCACGTACTTATTTGAGTGTCGGAGCATGTTTCAATTATCCCTTTGATCCTTATTTTTTCCTTAATAGGTCGGATGTTTCCTCCATTCAAGTCACATGATTGATTTCACCTCGTTAATCCAAAAAATACCCTCTCTCTTCTAAGTGTATTGCTCAATGAAATTTTAATTTATTAGCAATAAAGACAATTTGTCTTGCCAAG